GTAAATAAGTATATCCATCTCCAAGGCCTCTTTGTATATATACATATATAATGCAAACACATAATTTAATTTAAACACACATTAGTGTGAGCACTAGAGTTTGTAGCTAATTCTATGATAATGAAGGGCAGACAGGGACTCAAGCGCCTCTGGATTCCTCTGACCTTCACAGTCTTCCTCTGACATATTGGGAGTTCACACGGGAGGCACAGTGAAAGCCTGAGTTCTCATGTTTACAAGGAGAAACTTCAAATGCTGCTCTCCACAGGCATGACCGACACAGAAGATTGCTGGACCAGGTGTAATGTCAGCCTCCGCCAGCACCAGTCTGTTCAGACTCAGCAGCAAGATCCACATCTGCTTACTGCTTTACCGGGTCCCTGAGTTCCAGAGCAGAGCCTGGCATCTAGAGAGGACTCAAATATGTTTGTCAGCTTAATGAGGGGGGACAAACACGTGCAACCTATTCAAGCAGACAGAAATAGTTGTAGTGAGATAAAGCCAATATAACATAGTCTAATACTGTCCAGAAAGTATCCAACCATGTAATATGAAAAAGAGACATTTACTGAAGAAGATACAAGGTACAAGAAACATTGTATATAGGACAATAATGCCTCAGTCCCCTTCAAAGTAGACACCTTGGGATTTCACATAGTTCTCCTACAATTCATCTCCAGTTACACTTAAGGAAATCTGGTTCATTGGTAGCTGTTTGAATTAAGTCATTAGCAACTGAAACACGCTGTTTCTTTTGCTGTGGTAGAATAAGCTGTGGGGTGAATTTTGCCATGATGCATTTTATGACAAGATCACGCATCAGAATCTTGGACACAGTAGTTTTTGGTATCCCTAGATCAGCTTTTACTTCTCACCCTGTCAGTTGCTGATCTTTGTCGATTGCAGCCCATAATGTTCAGCATTCTCAGGCGTTCTGCTTGTTGCAGACCTTCCAGAACATAGGTCACTTTCAACAGATTCTTGACCATCATTGAAGTGTTTGTGCCACACTTTTGTTTGCACTGCACTCATTGCATGGACCCTGAAAGCCTTCTGAATCATCCAAATAGTTCACAGAGTAATGTTCAAGCTTAATGCAAAACTTCATGCAGATTTACTGCTCTAATAGCTCAGTAATTTTGAATTTGATGGCCACACAGTGCACATGTTCACTCAAAGGCAACTACTGCCCTTACCCACTAGTACAATGAAGTCATCATTGTTCATGCATGTGCTTTCCAGTACACTCTCCTTGGCTGCCAGGTTATATCGATACTTTTTCTTGATACACACACACATATGTATGTATACATATATATGTGGACAGTATATATATACACATATATGTATACACACATACATACACACTATATATACACACATATACACACATGTATATATATTTAAAGTGGTGTTGATATCCTATAGTCTAATATATATAAATATGTATATATATAAAACATGGGTGTATATATATATATATACACACACACACATACACACACACACAAACACACATATATATGGTCCAGCAGAAGTAATACGTGCTTGAATGTGGTGGGTTGGTACTGATATGGGTGTAATAATTCATAGTTTTAATTTGAACATTTCACCTAAAACATCATATGGTGTGCTTGAGTGAGCTATTGTTATGTTACAGAATTACATGGTTATGATTTTATAATAAAAGATTTTGTAATAAAATAGAAGCATTATTTGTGCCAGACCCTGTATATACTGATACATTTAAACTGGTCTTGACTATTCACCTTACATTTGGCAAAATTTTTAAAAAACAAAACACAGAGTCATCCCCAAAATAATGGGTCCGAGTTTCATCTTTCAGGATTTCTCAACATTTCTAAAAACATCTTTATCTCAATCTTTTCCTTATTTGTATTTTTTTGGAAAATACATTGATCCTAAATTTAAGCTCATTATTTATTTTAAAATAATAGGGAAAAAGGCATTAGTCTAAGTCACACAATTTGAGCAAAATATAGGAGCTGGCAGAAATTTGGAGAGGGATTCTGTACAAGAAAATGAAGTAAATGTTTTGTAAAGATAATGTCTATCTGCTTTGTAACCCAATTCTGTGATATACATTTGAAACAAATTAATCTTTTTTTCTAAAGAGAATTTTTATTACTTATATAATGTGGAGATATCTGGAGAAGTAGCAAGTGTTTATTTTTAAAATGCATTCTGCAGACACACTGGTAAAATTATTTTGTAGAAAAAACTAAATTCAATATTGGCTATGTGTAATATAAAACAATAAATATGTAAGAATTACAATTTTCTTAAACCCCCCTGGTTTCTTTGCGAACCACTGCTAAAATTTCCTGTGTTTGAAATTACATTTGCCTCCTGAAAAGAAAAAAGACCCACCACTAATTTCACCTTATATAAAATGAATTCTATCAACAGTCAAAGTAATAATTGTGTGGTGACATTTCAGCAGCAAAAAAGATGACCTCAAAAGGTCATGTCAATCCAATCCTAATGACAGTCACAGCCGACTGTCAATTAATGCCTGGGACACAATGTAGATTTTCATATTTTTACAACTAAATATCACATATCTAGCAACACAAGAGACCCTTCTTAGAAAAAAAGTAGCCCTTAATTATCTTAGATTATTGCCACCAGAAAAAGAACCTATAAGTCTACATTAAAGGAAAAAAATGCATTCTACATAATATTATTTTCCGAAGTGGAAGGGAGAACATGAGAAAGAATTGACTTTATCTGAGTGTGTCAATTTTAAAAACCAGAAAGTCAACACTTTTAATAAGCATTGGGAAAATATAACTGCCATAAGCTGCCTTCTCTTACTATTAATTTTCAGTCTGTACACAGATGGAGAAATATATGTTTTCTTCTTGGAGAGGGTGGCTTACATGGTTAGCTCTGTATCTGCTATTCTTACATCATCTCTGAGTCTAAGCAAGTGCCTGAATTCTTCATAAGACTCTCTAAATTACCCTGTATTTCATAAAGAATCTAAAAATTTTCTACAGTCCTCATATAAGCTTTAGAAGAGAAGATTTTTAAAAATAGAGAATTCTTTCAAATACCTTTTTACCCAATATTGGGGAAGTTGGTTTTAGTGATGGTAAATACTTGTACCATAGAGTTTATTAAATATTTTAAATATCACCCTTGGTTAAAAAGTTAACAAATCTTTATAAAAAAAGTAGATATGATACAGTAGGTACTTGATAATTGGTACCTCCTAATACTGTATTTTGGAAAACTGCTATACTTGGATTCTAAAAAAAGCAAAAACCTTAAATAAGGATGAGTGTGAGAGGTATGAAATGAATGTACCATGTACCTTTGAGAGAGGATCATGGAGAATCAACTTTCAAGCCTGTATTTAACACATTAACTTGTCCATTAAACTCTCTAATTCATTGTACAACATCAAATTCCCTTGCTCAAAATCATGGGCACTATGACAGTGAGCCTTATACTCACTAGTGTGGGCATAGAATCAATGTGGTTTAAAAGCACTAGTAAAAATGAAGTCTAGGCTGCTATTCAAAACAGAAATTTGTTGAGAACTTTTCAGAATTGAAGCAATTTCTAAACCACTATCTGAACCTAATCAATATCTTTTAACTCCCTGGCATCATCCATATGCTTTTTAAAATCAATTCTCTTAAACAGCAGTCAAAAATGTAACTGTATCTTTCCCTTCTGTTGTTATTTAAAGCTAAGTCAGGTAGGAAGACCACATTCTGACACCAAATGAAAATCCCCCATTTACACTGGGTTATTGAGATAGATCATTAGTGAATCTGGTAGTGACAATTTGGAAGCAAAACCCTGATTTTGGAGCAGGGAGCCTCAGCTTTCTCCAGGCTAAAACTGGGCAAGCTGCACTTCTTGGAGGAACTCAATCTAGCAGAACCCATTTCTTGTTCACTCCTACAGAACTTGGTCCAACTCTATCTTTAAATGGAAAATAAAATAATTTTTGAGTCATTCTTAGTTTGTATTTTCTATCTCTTATCTTGCCCTATTATCTTTTACTATATTAGTAAACTACAGATTTGATGGATGACCTATACTTTTCCCAGTAAAATGAGCTAGGGCACCAAAAGCAAGAAGCATAACTATTATTTCTCTGGTTATCTTATCTAGCAATGTAATCTGGGGAAATAGGAGGACTGGCTTTCCTCTGTGCACATATTCTACAAAGAATCTGTAGTAATCTGTAGTAAAAAGTACTCTGAGTGAAATTCTTTGGAAACATTGTAACGTGGAAACATTTATTTCATAAACAAATGTTTCACTCTGCCTCAGTTTTTTGAACTAAATTTTCCTTGATATTAGTCTGTGCTTTCTTGGGTGTTACACAATCCAATTCAACACAAATCCAATTCAACTGGGATGAGCATATAGGCCTCATCCCAGTTTGTGATGTGGTGTGCCACATGGTTGCATGGCGCACAGCCAGCACCACGCTTGATTGTGAGCAAGTGACTGCACACATAGGAATCCTTATTGATTCATGGATTTGTAATATGGGATTTCAATCTCTTATTGGCCTAACTACACATAAAACTAATACTGTAAGAAATCATACATACACAGAACCAACAGTTATTATCATTCTGTTTATCAGCTGCGGGGTGCCCTCTAATTAAAGGCACTTCACTAGCAGTCACAAGTAGAATATCACATTAATAGATTTGACTATTTTCAAGTTCTACAACCTACCTACCATGAACAGGAGATTACCAGAAAGAATCAAGACACACTTTATGAAGAAGGTAGATAAGATAAGGTCTTTGGATACCTTTCCTTCTTAAAAATAAAAGGGAATGCAGTTTGACTGTCAAAAGAACAAAGGTTATTTGAATTTGTGGAGGTATGACAGGTGATTTGCCCCAAGTGAAGCATGGATGAGAAGGGAGAAATGGGATCATGAGATGAGCATGGCTGTGGCAGGGGTGGCAGGTGGTTGGTGGGAGGAAGGTAGTGCTCACCACTGTCCCCTCCACTGGCTCCTCAGCCTGGGTGTCCAGTCCCGGATCCAGCCCAACAGCAGATGCTGCAGCAGCAAGGGGCTCCTCTGCTTTTGACTCTGTTGGTGGAGCCTGTTCAGTCTCAGGCTTTGATTATTTGTTTTGAGGGTTAGAGGAAAGAGATGTAACATATCAATAGATAGCATTACAGAATATTGGAAAACTAAGATTTTCTTCATCATCCTACAGGCAACTAGCTTCATCAAATCTGTGTTGAGAAAAAGCCCCACTTTTGGCATCATGTTCCTTTACAGAACTGGAAAGTCTAGAAATAGACTCTAAAGGCTTCTCTTTTACCAGCAAGAACTGTCATTTTCATGATGTTAGGCAAAGATTTACTATTTTGGCTTTTCATTTTACTTGCAACATTTTGACTATTCACTTCCTAGGATATCTATAAGAGATGCTAAAATGGTACATTCTGTTATTTGGGGTTGGGGGGAGAGAGGAGAGATATCCTAGGAGCCTCACTGTTGCCAGCTGAGAGAAGTGAGGAAGAGTTCACAGTGCACAGTTCTGGGAACTCCCAGCTCTATTGATATGCATTACACTAAACATTTAAAGATTTAGGTTTCCTTTCAGTATTCATGTGATAATGCACTAACCTGCACAGGTCAGTATTCTCTGTGGCACCAATTAGACTTTTCTAATTGTGTGGACAACAGCAAAGTCTTTTCATCTACTGTGACCTCTATGCATAGACATCATCCTGATTCCAGCTCTTAAAGTCTCTTAGCTGTCGGCTCCTTCGGTTTTTAAAAAAGAAGTATTAAATACCAACAGGCCCTCGAAAAACACCACAGCCAATGTATGTGATCATGGCTACTTAAAATGTTCCCCCTTTTTCAATTCCAGTTAAATAAGCATATTTATTTAGCAGGATTTTTCACTAAATGTATGGCTGTTAGAGGGCATGTTAAGATGTTTTTTTCCATTAGAACATTTGAACTATGAAAGAGTTTAAAAGTATTTTCTTAGAGGAGTAAGAAGTCACCAATAAATACTCTGAATGGAGAAATCAGTAACTTCTGTTAGACACCATAATCAATTAAAAGCCACCTCTAGTTCTATGCATCCACCTAAACTGATGCACATGACAACTTCCACATGGAAGTGATCAAGAAGTTATGCTGAAAATTTTAAAAAATGAATAGTCTAGTGTCAGATAAACATGCAAAAGAGTTATCCTGTGCACCCACCAAATCCTCCGTTGTGATACACACCATGATCACACTGCCCTTCTTTTTAAGGGCAAAATAAAATAGGAAATGTTGGTAGTTAAGAGTGTAGAAATTTGATATTTTTATGGGTTTTTATAACCTTTACAGGTATTTTGATACAATTTTTAAGAAAGAATGAAATAAAATTCACTCTAATATACTCTTTATGGGAAGAGATGTCACTTTCACTGTTCAAAAGAGTTATTTTTGTAATGAAACAGGTTTTCATAATGACAAACAGAAACTGAAAACTGTCAGGGTATGATCTTACCATTTTGGAAGTCAAGGTAATTTTCTATGAGGCTATGTTATCAAATGACCTACACAAGAAGGACAGGAAGAGTAATCTGACAAAGCACCAAGAAATCCATATGTAGATGGGCTGTCCCTCTGTGAGTTGAGTCTATGAGATGGAGGAAGTCTATGAGCCTGAAGCCAGATAAAGTTTCAAAAGATGAGTTAAATACCTATCACTGTACCTTAAAAATAAAAGTAAATATAAATGAAAAAAGTACATGCATTAGAGTATAGGTTCCTCGGAAGTCTGAAGAAATTTTGATGTTTTATATAAGGCAAGATAAGTAGGGTGATTTTATAAATGACTCAAGTTGCATTTGCTTGCTGACATCAGGAGATGCAACACAGGTATAGTATGAAGAAGAGCTGTGATCAAATATGTCAACACAAGTCACAACATTTTCCCCTATAATATCACACCAAATATTATGATACAGCATTACAACTTATCACCTAAATTTCAGAGGGATAAATGAATATAACTCATTGAATGATGAGGACAGAGAAAACATGATAGCATGACTATACATCAGATCAGCTACTCAGATTTAGATATAGTAGTAGCCATTCTATTCCTTCTAAGATAATGTAAATTTGTAAATATTTTGCCAAGATAGAAAGGGAAACACAGGTAAATTGTGAATGATATCTCACAAAAAGATCTAAAATAGTCTTGTCAGAATTGTGCACTGCTTCAATAACCTTTTTCTATAAGATGCATCCCCTGTCAAACAATGCAAAAGGGTTGACTTCCTATTATTTGCTCAATTTGTCATCATCCTCCATTAGAGGAGAGGGAACTCTTCACATTTACTGTGGCAGCAGATGCCACAGTGGATAAATTCAGAGACTCAGAAATGGAATTCTTCCTTTAGAACAAAACTAGTTGTGTAAATTTGGCCCACACTTCCCAAGAGCCTCTGTAATATGATGGAAGGAAAGTCAGTCAATGCAGAGAAGTAGGAGATGGATCAAACAATAAGGCTAAGGGTCTAGTCATATTCCAACATGTCATTTGCAGTAAAATCTTATTTCTCCAGTCTTGAGAGAGTTAACTTGGTGAGACATGCAAAATGACAAGGAGGTAATTCTGAGGCCTGAGCAAGTCTGGCAGATTCCAATAGTTTGAGTCAGCAATCAAAGAATGTGCTGTGGAATTGTACGATGCAGTCTGGGAAGGTGTGCCTCTAACTAAAGTTAGAGGTTACTAACTTTAACCTCTATCTCATTCAGAATAGTCAATGACCTAAAGCTAGGGAACTCCTGCTCCTGGGGAAGTCTTGTAAAATCATAACTCACCCAGAGATGTAGGTTCACTGTGACTTCCTACTGCCCAATAGGAAGAGGCAATGCCTATAGCACATGCAGTGCTGGGCATGACAAAGCTAAGTTCCCCAATGGGAAGAAGGTCCAAGATACATGCTTCAGAGACTACATGTCAAGAGAAGGGCAAGGCAGGCAGGAAGCTCCTGGAACCAGCTGTGAGAGTTGGAAGATGTTCAGAGAAACTTAAAAACCACTGAATTCTAAGACTGGGCTTTTGCATCAAAGTAATAGGTGTAAGTTTAATTTATGAGCCATTCTTTCCTTTAAACCAGTATTTCTCCATTTTCTTAATTTACAATTGTCAGTTAAAAATTTCATCCTCCAGTGTCAATATAACCCTTACTCCCTGCTCACCTAGGCAGAAGCTCACCAATAAAAATAAATTATGAGTCTTTCTTACTCAATTATTAACACCAACATAATTTGTATTTTAAACACTTCAATCTTTATTTGAAGGCCACACAGACTCCACCTTTCACTTGGTTACCCAGAACTGTGAAAATCTATGACAGAGGTACTAGAAACACACATGCCTTTGAACAAATATTAAATTATCCTTTAGACAAACTTCCCAGAACAGAATTCCTTACTTAGACATATAATCATATAAAAAATTCCATTCAAATCCAATTCCAATCTCTCATCATGAAAGCCAGAAGCTAAGATAATTACATACCAGTTCCATGGGAAAACCAGTGAACTACAATAGACCTTGTGCATTAATATTCAGAGATCCAAAATCCTTTGTAGTGTATTACCAACAAGTGGCATCACTCAAAGTCTCTTCATTCAACTTTATTTTTAAGCTGCTGCTTGAAAGGTTTCCCAGAATACCTGCAACATCCATCTTATAAGATTTCTTCTAAAACCAAAAGTTACTCAGCTTCCTACTCACTCTCTAGCTAATCTTTTATCTCATCAAACTAGAAATCACACTTCCAATATGCATTACTTTTTTCTTCAACTTACAGAGAGAAGGGAGGAGATAAGAAATGAGGTAGTTTCATGTTCAAAATATAAACAATGATCTGTCCTGAAACATGAATTCTTAAAGAAATGTTATTTTCAATACTGTAGCTTAAGTTATATTCATGTGGAAACATCCTGTCCTTGATGAATTTATACTGTTCCACTGAAGCCCATAATTAGAAGACCTCTGTTTCTACTGCAATCACCTGACCTTATAAAGAGAAGCAACCACATTCAAAGCCACAGTGAAATTTTTCAGATTTTCTAGAAAGTAAGGATTGGCAGAAACCACATTCTGGATATTCAAGCTCTAGAAAACCAATCAATAGTAACTATTAACTTCCCTAAAACATAAATCAAAATAAACTTACCAACATATTCTGATCTGTTGACATTGTAAATAATGAAGTGTCCTGGGGCTGAAAATTGGAGAGAAGATACAAGAAGATTAAAAGTATTAAGATTTCAGCTAATTTGCTAAAAACAACAACAAAGATACCATTTAAATTAGCTCTCATGAATTGTGTCAATGAACACACTATACAGTTTTTAAAAGTCTGTATTATAATCAGAAAAACAGTAAACAAAAAAGTAATTTTTAACAGTAGTTATTCTAAAGATAACTCTGAGCTAGCAGAACATGAGGCTACAACACATTAAATAAAAGGCAGTGTCTTCAGGGGTATCACTGGTCTACAGCTTGTCTTCTGGACATCTGTTCTGAATTGGAATTGAGTTGTTCTAAAGCACAAATTGAAACTTTTCAATTTTTTTTATTTTAATTGTTGTTCAAGTACAGTTTTCTGTCTTTTACTCCCATCCCAACTCACCCCCCCCGTGCTCTCTCCTCTCTCCCTCCCCACCTCCCTCCCATTTAGTTTTTGTCCATGTGTCCTGTATACTTGTTCCTGTAAACCCTTCTTCCCCTTTCCCCTGAAATTCCCTCCCCTCTCCCCTGTGGTCCCCATCAGCCTGTTCTCTATTTCAGTATCTTTAGTTATATTTTGCTTGCTTGTTTGTTTTGTTGTTTAGGTTCCTGTTAATCATATGGTATTTGTCTTTCACCACCTGGCTTATTTCACTCAGCATAATGCTTTCCAGTTCCATCCATGCTGTTGCAAAAGGTAGGAGCTCCTTCTTTCTTTCTGCTGCATAGAATTCCATTGTGTAAATGTACCATAGTAAATGTTGGAAATTCAATCTTATTATCTTACCTAAGTGTAATTTGTACAAGTTAATTATGATACATAACTTAAAATTTTTATATAATATATTCATCAACTTAAATAATCAAGATGGAAGATACTAAGAAAATAGTGATCTCTAAGGGAATATTAATTTCTCATTATAAGGGCAGCTAGGCTTACACCCTCCAGAGAGAAAACCAGCTGAGTCTTCACTTGAAAATCTAACCAGTTCGAGAAAGAAAAATACCTACAAAAAAAATTGACATCAAGGGTTCTCCAACAGAGAAGATGAGGAAGTGACATTTGGTTAAAGATGATGGGTTAAATACAGGCAATTACCTTTATTACCTCCAGAATTCAAACTAAACCACAATAAAGGAAATTTCACAGAGCAAAAAATTTAAAGGCATAACCACATAAGTGTAAAAAGAATGGGAAGAAAGCTAAGATCAATAAAAATTTTAAATTGAAAAACAGAAAAATGAGCAATAAGAAACTTGGTGCATCCCAAAAGATTGGTAACCTAAGGCAATGTAAGAAACGCCCCCAAACAATCCAATTTGTTACTCAGAACTCACAGTGGATAAAGAATTAGAAATATGAGCACCCCAAGAAAGGGAGTTGTAGTGGTGCTGAAGACAGGGAAAATGGTTGAAAGTTTATTGAAAAGTAATTAGACTGTGAGATACTCTCACATATCTGAAAAACAAGTGATATCCTTTCCCACTCTAGCACAAGGCTTGAGATCATTTCCACAGAGGCTGAAACAGAGGGTCTCTGGACTGGGGAAAACAATAGTATTAGGAAAGTGGCAGGATTACATGAGCAGTCATGTAATGAATACTGACAACATGGGGCCCACCTCCCCAACTTGTTCCCATTCACCTTCCATTACACTGGCAGCCGGGCTTGTGCACCTCACACAGGAGAACAGGAGAGTCTTCCCAGAGAAATTTCAAGGAAAAAAATATCTAAACATCTGACATAAGGGGCTTCACAACAGAAAAAAAAATGAGACAGAAAATCCTAGAAAAATGTCTATAGTCCATGAACTATACCTACCTGTACAAGTCTCCTGTCAGCTTTTTTAGTATCCCACTCTTAAATATGAGTGGGAAGCCAAGACTGCCAGACATTTAAGAAAAGTCTCTTTATTAAAAGGAGAAACCAAATAGTAAAAACAAACAAAACACAAAGACTTTGCCGGGGGAAAACACCTTTAAAATTATTATTATTAAAACCCTCAGAGGTATTATGGAAGATGCTGTATCCATTACATAGGAAGAGAATGCTATTAAAAACAAATATTCAGCACTGACTGGTGTAGCTCAGTGGATTGAGCACAGGCTGCAAACCAAAGGGTAGTCAATTCAATTCCCAGTCAGGGCACATTTCTGGGTTGCAGGTCAGGTCCCCAGTATGGGGTGCTGGAGAAGCAACCACACACTGATATTTTCCTCTCTTTGTCCTTCTCTTCCCCTCTGTCTAAAAATGAATAAATAAAATATTTAAAAAATAAAAACAAATATTTGTTAAACAGAAAGAGCTCTTGAATTAAATACATGTCTGTGAAAAATCTGTAGAAGAGTTGAAGGTAGAGAAAGATGACATGGAAAAGAAAATAGCAAATTAAAAATCATTAGAAGACTAGCTCAGGAAGCCAACACATGATAAAGACAAGTGATATAGGATGAGAGAGCAAAGAAAACAGAAGAGAAATCATAAGTGAATCAAAAAAATTCCTCCAAACTAAAAGGCATACATTTTTAGATTAAAGGGTCTAAGACCATGTATGAAAATAGACTCAAACCAAACTCATCACTATAAAATTTCAAAAGCACTGGGAAAAAGAAAATTTTACAAACTCCCATAGAGAAAGAGAGAAAAACAGTGTTAGTGATGTATAAGCAGTAGAGAGGAAAAAACAAGTTCCTCATAAATATCAAGAATCAAACTGATAGCTTTTCAGTAGCAACATGAGGAGGTAGAACTGAGTGGAACGGTGGCTTCAAAATTCTAAGGGAAATGACTTACAACTTCTAACAAAGCATCCAAAGTGACAGTCCATAATGTATACAAGGGCATTTTCCAAATGTGTACTATCACAAACATATACCTCTCATGCACACTTTTCTCAGGAAGCTACTGGAGGATGTACCTTAATTTGGTGGTGAAGAGGTATGCTAATTTTGTGGAATTAAACCAAAAATGAGGAAGACTTATGCCCAGAAAAGAGCACACTGACACAGGAGAGAGGTGAGGGCAATCTCCAGAACACACGTAATGGGAGGGGCCAGTGGTACCAACTGTGCTGTATCCACTGAGTCCCCACTGTAGACTGGAGTATTCTGAAGGTGACACTGGTTGAATATTTAATATTTCCCAACAAAATGAGGGGAGATTTATTTAACTACAGTTCTTGGGTTTGAGCTACTAAGTAAACTAAGCAAACTGACCAACAAAAAAATAGCACCCTACAATTATTTCCTCAAAGAAAATGAAAAAGTTTGTATAAAAGGAAATATAAGCTTCCTGACTAGAGCACAAATATCATTTATGTAATTGTTACAATAACAAGTGGTTATGGCAGAACTATAGCACAGGAAGGCAAGAAGAAGAGACAGGGGAACTGTGCAGGTAGGAGGCTGAAGGTGCTTTAAGTCTTCACCTTCCAGAGATGTGAGTCAATAGCTAATCCTTTAGAAATAAAAATGCAACTTCATAACAAAGTCATGCACACACATGGGAGTGAAACCAGAGAATCTGTTAAAAGAAATGGAAGTGCCTCTAAGCAACAGAAAATGGAGAGATATGACAGCCTGAAATTTTAAAATAAAAAAGCCCTTATAAAATTTTATGTTCTTTAAATTATGTAAATTTATAAGTGATAAAATATAAATCTTAAAAAATTAGACATGAAAAACAATACTTATGACTCAAAATTTCAAGAGTTTATACAGATGGAAGAGGTGCACTATCATCTTTGTTCGTATTTGTATCTGTATTTAGTCATGGGTGAATGAGTGGGTTTCATCTTTTTTATAGGTAACAGAGAAAGTAATCAAACTTTTGAATCAAGAAATTCTAAATGTTAAAATCTGAAATTTTTCATGTCAATATTCTGAGACAAAGCACTCATCACAGACAAGCTTCTGTTTGAGGTCTCCCTTTAAGAGGTTTTCAGAACTAGCTTGAAAGCCATGTGGTTTGCTTTTATGTGGGTTACAGCTGTCCATCTGTTGGGACATACACTGCGAATGGGACAGTCCATCTGATGTCTCCTCTTCCTCAGATCTGCAAGGAAAATATTGCCTTCTTGGCCAGAGCTGACCTAAGATTTCTGATCTTCCAATGGCTCCCTAAAACATAACACATTTTCTAAAGACCAATTTCATCAGCTGAAGACAATCTTATCTCCTCTTTTCAAACAACTGAATCCAGTGGATCTCTCAGTTCAGGACAACTCCTAATTTGTAGTAGGGGATCAGTATGTGGCAGAAGCCCATGGTATAGTTAATAATATTAACAATAGCTAACTACAGTCATGGAGAACTCAGTATGTGCTAGGCTGCTGGACATACATCATTTATCAGTCACAGCAACCCTACAATGTTGATACTCTACTGTTTCCACTACCGAACTTACAAGTAATGAAGTTTTGTGCCAACATATTTAATCTTGACATACTAGTGACAGAGGTTCTTATTTAAAAATTTCACATCTTTCTCAACAGATTGTTTTTGCCAGCAAGTCAATTTCTTACCTGTGTGAATCCATTAAATGAACCATCAGGAGCCTAAATAGAAATGGAAATCAGATCACATTATTTTTTTCATCAATTTTGTAGGATCAGTGAATGCCCATTAGACAAGTTGGAAAGTAAAGACCACCACAAATTTTAAAATAATACAAAAGGTGCAAGTGCTTAGGAAATGCAAAGGGCCATATTGTATTATTTAAAATAGGCTGACAAAAGAAAAAGAAAGACTATTTTTACAATTTCTGCAAATGTGTGGTTCAGGGGTAACCAAAGCCCACTTTCTCAATTATGAGAGGATTCTGGAGAAAAGCCACAAGGGGATGAATAGCTCTTGTTTTCAGGCCATTGATAGACTCTAGAAGCATTTCTAGCATCTCTCTGACACAGCATTTTGTTAGATTTTTAAATGACACCTATTATTAGATTCTACATTTTTAGTAGGCCGAGGTAAAAACAGTTCATGAGTTCTTATTGGGATAAATACTTTAAAAAGGTAAATTAGTATGCTCTACACATTTTTAATACTCGAATAGAAAAATAAAAATAGGAAAAATAAACAGTAAACTGATAGTAAAACAGACTCTCATTAATAACAAAATAATCATTCTGTGTTTTTCTCTTTGTCAACCTATTTATGCTTGGTTTGCACAGACTTCAGGAGGTAGATGAAACAATGTATCAAGTAGATAAGGCAGGACTCAGAGAAGACAGTAATGGACAGTGATGTAGGCGGGAAACATTAGGATAAGCAGAACCTACTTACTACCAGTCTGTCTGGTCTATACTACACACTGGGGTAAGTACCTCTTCTTTATCAGCCTCTATTTCTTGGTACAACAATCCATATCTCTGGTTAGCAATTTCATCTGCAGATAAATCTGAGTTGTTGGTGCCATTGTCTTGGGGACTAGAAGAATTCTGGGAGGTTTTAAGAACCAATGGCCTGTCTCTTTGTTTTGTTCCCAGCAGTTATCAATGGCTGATTCCTCACAAACATCTCCCACTAAATCCACCTGCAGCCCTCTCTTGCTCTGGACTATATCTAAACGTTCTTAGTAATTATTGAATTCTTCCATATCACTAATAGATAAATAATTAATATAATTAAGACAAAAGGCAAGTACATTCGCTTGGCCATCTGGTATACCAGAGAATTTCAATATGACTGTATTATTCATTCCTGAATCCACACTTGACTGCAAGATTTGACCTGTATCTGTTCCCAGGGAGTATGTTTTTGCAATTCTTGGCAAGGTAATGGTATGACTACAATCCACAGTCACTGTACTTTCAGACCCCTCTATTAATGAATATTCCACCTTACACAAACACCAGTCCCTTCTGTTTGCATTAGTCTCTAGAGCATAATTAAGATCTGTCCTAGACTGAGCTGTCAATTCATGTGTCCCAGAAAAAAAATAAAACCAGCCTGACTATCATCTCTGTGACCTACAGGTGCTTGTAACACAGCCTCACAATAAATTTTAGCACCTGTACTTCCCTTTGCTGAATGATATATCATGATTAGGAGGGCCTATAAAATTTTTAAATATCTTTTCTACCTAAATCCCATCCCTAAGGGCTGGCATCTTCAATATTAAGTACAGAGTCAGCTGGGAGAGACAGATTCAGAATACTTTTTCATTGGTCTTCATAATTTCCTTATACCTATCTCTTACATCTTTCTTAGTTTCCTCTTCACTGACTTTAAGGACACCTCATCTTGCTTCCCTATTGTCTTCCACCTTGTTTCCTGTACTTTCACACACTTTCTCTTCAACTTCCTTTGTACCTTCTAGAGTCTTCAGGTCAATAGTTCCAGTGTCTACCTTTTCACATGTCTCCACCACTGCCCACATAGAATCTTCTGTCTTCTGTTTCTCCTCCTCTTCTTCTGACATTTTAACATCTTCTGGACTTTCTTTGACTAGGCCACCAGTTTCTAGGGCTAGCATCTCTGAGTCAGATGAATCATAAGGATGCCCAATCTCCATACAAGCTGCAATAGCAAATTCAGCCTCAGGCATGGCCTTTGGGGACAGTTGTTCATTTCCACAAGGAGGGCCTGGCCCCAGGACACTCTCACCCTGTCCAGCTATAGTGTGCCAGTCAAGAGAGGAAAACTTCCTGGTCGATAATCCCATGTCTTGTTCTGCTTCAGAGACACGTGCATAGGCTTCCTGGTACCCACCACGGGTAGTTTCCTGGCTGACGCTGTCTGTACTAGCATCAGGGCCCCAAATAAATGCACCTAGATCAATGTGAGATCTTTGAATTTCTTCAGCCAACCCACTGTCTGGAGTTTCCTCCATGATCAGGTTACACAGGGAAAGACTTTTTGAAGAGTCAGTCTTTAGAGTATGCAGAACAACAAAGAAAAAAAAACATAAGTTGAAAGAGATTGTGGTAAGAGTTGATGAGAAACATAAAGCTCTGAAGTAGGGTAGCACCAGTTATACAAAACTAGAGAATAGTTAAACCAAATAAATGGCTTAAGATTATATCTATGAATAGCAATGCCATGAAAAAAAAGCTCAATTTAGATAATATACCATGTGTAAAATGCATATTACATACAAAAAAATCCAGAATTTTCTGGATATTTACCTACCGGCTGTACCAAATCAGTGCTTGTCTGTATGAGTAAAAAATAATAATAATAATAGTAAATCATAGGCAAGCTTTGGATTTAATTGCTCTTCTGTTTCTAGTTTCCTAAGGTAAAAGTGTAATGATTTTACATTTCCCTCTTTTCTAATATACATAGTCAATATTATAATTTAATCTCTAAACATTGCTTTTGCTGTGCCTTACAAATTTTGATGTATTTTTATTTTCATGTAGTTCAAAATATTTTAAAATTTCTCATATTTCTTCTTTGACCTATGTGGGGAGTGTTGCTTAATCTCCAAGTACTTTGGCATTTTCCAGGTATCTTTCTGTTAATCTATTTCTAGTTTAACTCCATTGTGATCTAAAAGCTATGGTTTCCATTCTTTTAAACATATAAAAATGGGTTTTATGGCCCAGAATGTGGTCTGCCTTGATTAACATTTAGCATTTAATGCTAAAATAAAGAGAACTATTTGAAAATAATCAAAGCAAGAGAAAAAACTGCTTGAACATTAAAATCTCATGGTGTCCAAAGTCAATATTCTGCTATGGGCTGTTATTTTCACTGGTTTGAGATTACACAATTTATTTTGTTATAGAAATTTGTTCTGTCCCAATACGCTTAAGACTATACATCTGAAACACAAAGGTTTTGTTATTTTCTAGTAACAACAATGTTTTATGGCTATTATATCACTGTCACTTTACTCTAAAATGCGAAGTTTTAAATAAATAAGCAAGCATGAGAGCACTAGAGTAGCATCAAGCACTAGCAGCCCCAAAATTACCCAGTACCATCTGCTCTGACACAGTATCTGAGTAAAACTGTCCCCAAACACACTCAGCACTTGGTCTGCCTCTGAGGTGGTTTTTAGATGGAGGATGATCTGATACTAACCACTCTAACTGCCTAGAGGATATTCCTCAAGTTCAACGCAACCCTAGAAGCTTCATCGGGACACAATGAAACAGCACTTGGGGAGGACCAAACAGCACAGGTTAGAGGACCAAAAATAAAGTAATTGTGTCCAGGGAGCTACAGTTTCACGATATTGCCACTGTGCTGCCCTCTAAAATAGTCAATGCTCATTATGATAACTTTACCCTCACCAGGGAAAGAAATATGTGGTGTAGCTCCAATTAAAGATATGAAATATTGGAATAACAAAAAATTAACATTGTTCTCTTACCCTCCAAGAAAATAAACATAAAGTTGAGTCTAGAATTCCAATGTCTTTAACACTAATCTAGGCATCCCTTTTTGAGAACATAGAAGCCAAACCAGAGCACCATAAAAGATGTTTTCAATCAACATTTTTAGCTCTTCTCTTGAGAGCTTCCCAAAATGCTTCAAGGATTCGATGTAGCAGAGCATGACCCTGCTCCTGTGGCAGGGGAGGGGACAGTCACATTCTTGTTTTATGGGGAGAAATTAGTAATGCTACTTCAGAAGACCACAGGCTTATGAACAGCTAGATTATCCTGTTGCTGTGTCACTAAAAAAAAAGCATAAAGCTCCAGTGGAGTTCTTATGACATCAGGGCCAGGGAGTTCTAAGACCTGGGAGACAAAAGCTCCACCTCAAGGGATGTGAGGCTCCATACAGTGCAGCCAGTATTCTCATTTCACATCTCAACCCTGCCACCACAAAGCTCTGTTTGTGTCTTTTTCCCAGCTCTGAATTCTGCAGGCTCTCATCCTTGCACTCCTATCTTCTACTGACACATACTAGACATTGAGCTAAATACTCTACAAATACAAATATTCTCTCACTTAAACCTCGCTGTACCATCTGTGGTAGATATTACCCATATTTTGCAAATGACAGAAACTGAGGTTGAAAGACTTTTAGAAATTGCTCTAAGTCATATGGTTATAAGAAGTAGAGTTTGGACTCAACTTAGGGCTACTTCTAAAGCTCAAATTCTTATTGATTAAGCTTCATTGAAAATAAAAGTAAAAAACTTCCCTGTGCAGGGTAGCCTATCCCTTACATTTTCTCACTGACACTTTTCTTATATTCTATAAGCAATAACAAATATGCACATCCTTCCCTACAACATTTCTTCCAGCCACTAGCAATAACAGCAAGAAGCATAAGGGGCACATCCAATTCTTGCTCATCCTGGAGTCTGGCATATGGACACTCTTTTCCTTGCAGTCATTTCTAAGTGCTGGTAATGCTGGGACTATCAGGGAGGTGATGGTTACTTTGGGGGATACACTGTTATTAAAAATGTTTGGATCTTCCTTCCATCACAAATGAAATAAAATATAACAAGGTTTCTAAAGTTCTAAGGATTCTGATGCATTGAAATACAGAGTTCTTAGTATTCTTACCGTCCATAGGTCCCAGGGCAATGTCTGAAAGTAAACAGAAAACAAAAATACTGTAAGTATACAAATCCCAAGCATGTACAAATTACTGAGATGAAAAATGTTCCTGAAATAAAATAATAAGCACTTTGAAATATTTAGTACAGAGCTGTTCAACAGAACTTTCTTTGGTGATAAAAATGTTCCCTATTTGTGCTGATATTGGTAGCCATTAGTAACATATGGCTTTTGAGAACTTGAAATGAGCTAGTGTAACAGAATCCAATTTTTCACTTTATACAGCTTTATTTTATGTAAATTGCAAAAGCTAAATGTGGAAAGTGCTACCAAAGCACAGGTCTAAGCAATGTGGCTATGGTATACAAGTAGAAAACTATACATGACATAATGAATGGTTTACATTAACACATACACACACACAATTAAATGAAGTAAACGAGGTGACCAGACATGAGTTTATTACATCTTTGAGGAAATGTGCAGATTCTAATCATAGCTAATGCCATTTTCTCTTTTCCCCACACCCAACTGAAGAGGAGGCATTATGACCAGTTTGATGGCAAATGACCCCTGGACAAATAGTTCTTAAATAGGTTGAATTACATAACATACTCAATAAATAATCATAAAATTTAGTAGGACCCCCTAAAGCATATGAATAAATTATACTCACTACTGAATTTTTAATATAAAACTTATTGGTCCTGGAAAATAAATCTAGATAGATCAAAAATGACTTTCCCTGTGTATAGGGAAAATGAGAGAAATCTCTTTTTCTTATGTCCTCTCTGGTTGAGAATTACTGCTAAGCAATATTCTTTTTCTTGCCACGTCTTTTTGAACTTGTTTTGAATCACTAAAATGTAAGCAGCAAGTAAGGGCATCTGGCATTCTCATCTTAAGAATCTGACAATTTCCATATGGGACTACAGACATCTCATTTGGATTTTGTACTACAGAACCCGGGCCCTATGGTTCTGATTGAACCCACCCACTTGCTCTGGCCTGCTTGAACTACACCACCCCACACACTCTGCATCTCTGTGCAACATGGTCAGTCTCTGGGTTAGCATCCACTTGTAGAATGACTAAGATGGAGAGTAAAACAGCTCCACTGAAAACCACAGGTATTGGAACATGGACTCCTTTGCTTTTAATATACATTTTCTGATCATTCTAATGATTTACATTTTCTTGCCTCATAGCACCTTAAGAATCACAGCTCCTAAAAACTGCATAATGCAGACAACTTCAGTAATTTTCTCCAAAGGAAGGCAGCAATTGAATCATCATGTTTATCAGGTCTCAAGATCATGAATTTCCTGTGCACACATCAGAGATCACAATGTGAGGTGTTCTGCTGGCAGTAGGAACATCAGCCTACAACATGAGATCAGGTGATGGGTAAAGGAGACCACTTTGACTGAAGGGAAAAGAAGGCCAGTAGAACCCAATGGCTCTGTTCTTTTTGTGACGTCTTTGAGATGTCTCAGGCTAAGATGTCTCAGCAAAAGGGAAGAGATATAATTAAAACTGGATCGCAGGCCAACTCTGCATTGCTGTGACTCACTTATGGCCACTGGGAAGCTAGAGAAGTTTATTACTTGGCCTGAAAAAGAATTCACTGGTACCTGCAAATTTTCCTAACTGCAATGATAATTTTTCTTCAGAACCAAGACTTAACCAAGGTTCCTTTTTCAAAAAAATTCTGAAAGAATCTTGGGCCTATTGCCACACAAACTTCCACAATATATGGATTAATATACTCATGAGTTGATATAAAAGAGGTTTCTCTCTTGATTCAAAGTTGCATACAGAAATGCTGTGGAATCTCATCCACTGATAATCACAGTATCCGCTGCTGGACTTTTTTTCCCCCACAATAAAGTAATGGACAGTGGAGAGTCAGGCTGAGGAAGTCCATAACTTCTGCTGGCTGCACAATGAGAACTCTGAGGAGCACATATTCTGAATGATATGTACATCCAATGAATGTTGAGAAAGTGAGTAAACATATTTGAGAAATTCTAAGTTAACAAATCTAAAGAGGTTTTTCTTTTCATTATAGGACTTCTTGGAATGTTTAATATTCTCATACATATAGTGAATTTCCTAAAAAAGAGGCAAAAGGAATTTCTGAAACATTTAGTTACCTATGTTTTGCAAAATACTTTTGAGGCTAGTGTCTTATCTATTTAATTTCTGACTTTATTATCATCTCAGATATTTATTGTTCCCACATTACAACACAAAGGCCCTTAGAAACCCAATTATCTAGAATAAAGCATGGAAATAAAGAGAAGTTTTATTTATTGAGGTTCATATTGAGCAGTCTGCTCCCCAGTGGTTTATTTACTTTAAGGTTTCAAGAAAGCTTCAAGGCCAAAAAATTGAGCTGTACCTCAATCTTCAGTTTTATAATAAATTGTCACTAATTAATTTGAAGTATATACTAGCATCTTTGGGTTTGTCCCAAATGAAATGTAAGGCTCAGGCCATATCTAAAATAGTGATATAAACAATTTCTGTTTAGCCAAATTTTGAATTAACTCCTTTTCTGAACACAGACAATTATAAACTATATTCCACAGGAATCATGCACAGATCAGTATAGCACCCACCACAGTGTCCCTCTGATGGAGATGCTAGCACAGTAACTATTGAAATGGGAAAAATCTTGAGAGTGAGGAAGTATGAGCAAGGATGGGCTTTGATAAGCAAGGCCAACTCTGCAGCAGGACACAATCAAGATCCCATGAGGAAGTGTCTGCAATGTGGAGAACAACCACATCAAGATTAAATATTTGAGACTGATTAGCAATTCTCTTGGTTCATAATCTCATGGTTGTTTAAAACATGCCTTAATTTACCAAGTATGAAGCAGGAGAGTAGAGAAAACAGTAAGAAGATTAAACTCCAAGAGAAAAAAGGAGCTTTATTTAGGGAAACATTAAATGTATCATCCAAACCTGGATACTATAGAGTACAAAAAGGAGGTATTCTTAACAATTACTTTAGATGATTACTGGGCAAATAAGAACACATGGCTATTCCAGCTCTATAGAGACAGCTAATGGTAGGGGGAGCTCTAAAATAACTGATGTTGATAAGGTTATCTTTTTACCCTTCCTTCCCATTAGGAAATATCTGTCAACTGAAAAGAAAAATAGATACTCATTACAAAGTGAGAGGGGTCACTGAAATGCATGTGTGCCTTAATGAGCTTATTAAAATTTTTGAAACATCATCTCCAAACACCATAACGATGACTTGATACCTGAGACATGGGTGACTGAGTCACTCCAGCAGAACCTGAAGAGGCTACCTCAGGCTTGAAAGGGTCAAAGTCCAGATCCAACAAAGTCTCCTCCTCTTTCTTCACCTCAGGGACTTCATTCTGTTCAAATAAAACAAAACAAAAACACATGTACAGCTTGAATCAAGTAAGACTTCATCATATAACCCATATAATCCTCTAATATCAGTCGATATTCCAAAAGCAAGCTTTGGTAGTTTACCATTTTGGTAGTTCATCTACATACTCCCAGAGCCACCAGGGAAATGGGATAAGAGAGGAAATAACCAGCTCTGGCTGAACATAACCTAAGACACCCAGGAACAAAGTCCAGGTTGCAGTTACTATCTTTTGTCCAACTCCAAGTAAGCCAGCAAAGAGAATGTCTGAGAGATATATCCTAATGCCATCAAGATCTAAGGAATCTCTTTTTTCTGCTAGTTCAGGTATCTCCAACAAGAATTTCAGATGAGCATATGGAATGGACTTCCAGCCAAGATGAAGGCATAGGTGGAAGTACTGAACCTCTTCCCACAACCCAATTTAAGGACAACAAAGATTTAGAAACAAAAACACAACTAAAACAGACAGAAAATTGAAATGTACCAAAGTTCGACAACAACAAACCATTCATCCAAACCAGTGAAAGGGGCAGAGTTTGTAGTCTGCAGAGAGTGGTCCCAGCAGGAAAAGGTGGTGGTTGGTGGATTTGGGTGGGCACAGGATGAAAACCCAGTAAGGCTTGCAGGAAGCTGGCTAACCATGGACACACATTAGCACGCAGATAAACCAGGCAGGTTTAAAAACGGGTAGTGAGACAGACCACGCAACCCAGGGCCCCAGCGATGGGGAAATAAGCCAAAAAGCACCAATTGGAATAACTGGCAGGGGTTGAGGTTCTGGGAGAGGCTCCCAGCCTTACAGGAGAGTTCACTGGGGAGACCCACAGGGTCCTAGAATGTACACAAGCCCACATACCTGGGAACCAGCACCAGAAGGGCCCAATTTGCTTGTGGGAAGCAGCAGAGGGGACCAAAATCCGAGAGAGAGCAGAACAAATGCCATTGCTCCCTCTCTGACCCCGCCACCATATACAGCATCACAACCCATCGATTTGGGTTGCCCCACCTTGGTGAACACCTAGGCTCTGCCACTCATACCTATGTAACAGGTGCAAACAGACCAAAACCTTATGGCTCCAGCAGAAGAACAGCTCAAAGCCCCAGAGCCAATACTTCTAAGCTACTAAAAGATAGCCACCCTATCAAATGCACAGTTCAAAACTGTGCATCTGGTGATCAGGATGCTCACAGAACTGGTTGATTTTAGTTGCAAATTAGATAAAAAAGTGAAGGCTACACTAACTGAAATGGAGCAAAATGCACAGGAAACCAATAGTGATGGAAAGGAAATTGGGACTCAAATCAAGGGAGTGGACCAAGAAACAAGAATTCAAAAAAATGAGGAGAGGCTTAGGAACCTCCAGGACATCTTTAAACGTTCCGACATCTGAATTATAGGGGTACAAGAAGGGGAAGAGGAACAGCAACAAGTGGAAAACTTATTCAAACAAATGATAAAAGAGAACTTCCCCAATCTGGCAAATGAAATAGACTTCCAGGAAATCCAGGAAGCTCAGAGAGTCCCAAAGAAGTTGGACCCAAGAAGGAATACACCAAGGCACATCATAACTACATTAGCCAAGATTAAAATGGAAAGAATCTTAGAAGCATCAAGAGATGAGGGGACAGTCACCTACAAAGGAGTTCCCATCAGACTGTCAGCTGATTTCTCCAAAGAGACCTTATAGGCAAGAAGGGGCTGGAAAGAATTATTCCAAGTCATGAAATCCAAAGACCTACATCCAAGATTGCTCTATCCAGCAAAGCTCTCATTTAGAATGGAAGGACAGATAAAGTGCTCCTCAGATAAGGTCAGGTTCAAGGAGTTCATCATCACCAAGTCCTTATTATATGAAATGTTAAAGGGACTTATCCAAGAAAAAGAAGATAAAAAATATGAACAGTGAAAGGACAGCAAACTCACAGTTATTAACAACCACACCTAAAACAATAGCAAACTAAGCAGACAGCTAGATCAGGAGAAATGGAAATCACATGGAGGGTTAGCAACAGGGGAATGGGAGGAGGAGAAGGGGGGAGAAGGTACAGAAAATAAGTAGCATAGATGGTAGGTAGAAAATAGGGGGGAAGGCAAGAATAGTATGGGAGATGTAGAAACTAAAGAACTTGTGACACATGGACATGAGCTAAAGGGGGGAATGTGCAGGGAGGGGGTGTGAAGGGTAGAAGGGAATAAAGCACGGAAATGGGACAACTGTAATGGCATAATCAATAAAATATATTTTAAAAAAAGAATTTCAGATGACCAGATGGATAACATGGCCCAAAGCACCAACTCATTCCAGGTACTCACTGCTGTGTTGTCCCCTGTAGGACAGCAGGAGGGATAATTGTCTACTGTGACCACATTCCACCTTCCTCAGCTCCCCACAAGCTCCCTACCCCTGGAGTAATTTATTATATTATCCATTCTTCATCCATAATATTGTTGTTCTAACCTGTGTGCATGAGAGATGGTGAATGAAAGGGACATAGGGAAGAACAGAACAATGGCCCCCACCATTCACTGCAAAATGAGCTTCCACCCCAGTAATATTCCTGGATTAGAAAGAAGGTGAATCCAATAAGACATACAAGAAAAGTTCTACTATGATAATAAAAAAATAAAATAATTAACATTTGTTCATTTATTATGGTCATGATATTGGAAAAACAATGTGGGTTTGAACTTGAACTAACGAGGCTCACGGTACACAGTTAAGAGGCAGAGTTGAAATAAATCCCATAAACTCTACCAGTGAAGCGAATTGGAGTCAGCTTATACAATTCAAGTTATATGCGTTTAATATTTAATAGAAGCTTCAATTTGGATTATCTGTTGTCTAAAAATAAAAGGTCACAATAATGGATTAAGTATTACATATAAAAACACAGATGTTTTTAGAGAAAAACTTTAAAGGAGTTATTTTAATTAATATTGGTCATAAACTCGAAAAAATTTTAACTTAAAAATGTATGCAAAGTTGGGACCATAACAGATAATACTTTTTTTAGTATATCTAGACTCATTTTACAAGAAAACCTCTTCATATTGTGATGTTGGTTTTGAGTTATCTGTTTTGCAGCATGAACACTCATCAGATATATATTTTTTAAATTTTACAAGGATGATGCTCTTCTGAGATCCCCCCTTCTTTAAAAGCTACATTGACAAAACTGTCAACTGATTCCCTTGACCACTATTCAAAAACAGCATGAGTTTTGATTTTTGCCAACTTTTATATTGGTGCAAATTGTATTTTTCAATTTTGAAAACACATATTACACTTGAATGTACTAGGAACTGTTCTAATAACTTCATATGTATGGACATTAGCTCATGTTAAAACACTTTGCTAAAGTCTAACGATAATAACCCCATTATTGCCTTTAAAGAATTACTTTACTGTATCATGCAAAGTGTTTTACTTGACTTGTCTAAACCTTACAAAAAATCAAGGAGCAGATGGTGTCATTTTCCTACTTGGAGATGAGGTTACCTACTGCCCTGGGTCCTCCAGCTGCAAGGCAGCTGAGGCAGGACAACAGTCAGATGCCTGTGACTCCACTGCTCTTCCAACCTGCCACTGGGATCTGGTCCCACATCCCTCAGACAGGGACCCTCACCATCTGCCAAGGAATTCTCAATGTTCTGCAAGTCCTCCATAAAAATTCCAGTGGCACAAATATGTTCATTTGTCCCTTATGAGCCTAAAGAGTGTTGGGAACTGCCCTGCCTGGTTTCAGGAGCTTTAACTGCCCCCCTCCTCCATGGCTAAGGCTGAGTGAGCAACCTTGGGACCATAAGCCACTAAGGAGACAAAGCTTATCTCCCTGGCAGGAGCACAGTTTCTGCTCCTTTTTTCATAACTGGCCTCCAATGCTTGATCAGTTAGCCAATGACGGGTAAGATTCCCCAAGGGGGGAAATCACCTAAGCCAGGCATGATCACATGGAGGCCCCAGGGAAGGACTTGGGGGGCTATGGAGAAAGGGGGTAATGGACCCTCACCCCTTGACTTTGACGAAGCCTGATTCCCCTGGGTGCCCGAGAAGTCTGAAAATTCCTTGGCTATCTGCCTCCTCTGTCTGATTTAAGCCTGAAATAATGACAGAGGGTGCTTCAGCCCTATGCTGAAAAGGGTGGGCTCCCTGGGTGATCAGGCCTGAGAAAGGATATGTAAAATCCTGTGAAGCCTGCTTTGCTAAGATTGCTTTTAGTTAAATGATAAAGATCTGAGCAGGAAATAAGTTTTTTTCTCAAAGTTTTGTAGCCCTTTAGCTAACGGACCCTGACTCAGAATAGGCCCTCATAGTTCCTTGTATGCTATCTACTGTTTGATCCTTACTGCCTGACAATGATTAATGAACTTTACCTGAACTCCTGCTCAAATTGAAACCTAATAAAACCCTGTCAGGGCAAGGGTCAGGGCACTCTTCCCTTGAGAGAGCGGCCAGGCCATTCTGAGGCTGTCCCCCCTTGAGGGAGTAGCCGGCTGTCCCTTTTCCTCCACAGGACTCAGTAGTTCGTGCAAATTTTTCTCATCTCATCCATAATGCCATGGGTACTGCAGGCTGGTGCATGCATCAAAAGGGTACCCTTAAGGAAGCTCAAATGTAAATTTATAGATCATGGAAGAAAACAGGCATTCAACTATAATGGCTATGTTGAATCTTCGATTGAGATACATCTGGGTGTACAGCCCAATTTTGCCACTTGTCAGTTGTCTCTCTAGGCAATTAATTCAACTTCTATTTCTTCATGCATAAAATGAGGTTAATAATACCTAGTAAAATTACCACGAGTAAGATAATAAATACATTGTACATAACATACAGTATGCACTCAAAATGGAAATTGAAGCTAATGCAGTTGATTACTCCTAATTATATATATTTGTATAAAATTACTGTCATCAAACATCCATAATACCAGTTTAATTGCCTTTAAAATTTGTAGCAGGTTTCTTCAAGTTCGACG